TGAGATCTATTTACTCTATTTAATTTGAGGTGATACGGCTTTAGTAAGTGAATTTTTGGGGACTGATAATGCACTTACAACTTTGCTTCCACGATAATCCCACCAAAGAATATAATATGCGAAAATGTATTGCCTTTCTATAAATTCACCTCTTCCCTGTGGCTTGGGTGATGTGGCGTAGTGGAATACGTGTCGAGATTGCACGCTGCATTCTCATGGTTCGAGTTCCGCTGGGGGTGTTGGTTAGACATAGGCGAGGTCGAAACTGGAATCCGCTCCTGCTTGGATGAGAACACCTTTTGGGAAAGCAAAGCAACACGAAACTCAATGGAAGCGTCAGCTTCACTCACATCACTGTGGGAAAAATTCAACTACAAGTCAATCATCACCTTAAACAAGATAGGGTGAATACATCTCAGATAACTGATTTGTTAATAGTCTCGAAACCCTACTTATAAACGAAAAACTAAGTTAAATTGTATGGCATTTTGAGCTCTGGAAGAACTCAACTGGCAATTCATCATTCAGACTGAGCGACCCAGTTTCCCTGAATTCTCATTCAAAATCATTTTTAGCTTTCTAAGAAGAAGAAGCCAGTATGCTTTTCATGTGTGCTTCTTTCTCGTCCGTTGTATTTAGCTTAGCAAAACTGCTTCATTCACTGTCTTTATGATAGTAAATAAGTACGGTTAGCTTCACTATGGCTTGAAAATATTAATGTAAACTGTTGAATAAGAGCTTTATCAACTCTAAGTACTTATTGTCGAATTTGACCAAAATTATATTAAACAGGCCTCACTGTGCCATTAAAGTTCACGTTTCTACTTCCCAAAAAACATTCTCCCTCCGAATGGACTACTGTTTTGACATCGTTTGGTCTCAATAGCACACCCAACGGGAATCGAACTTGAATTATATAACTCTTATTCAGCATCTCCTTGACGTTTCAAACAAAAGCAATGTATATTTTTCAATAAGCGCCTAAATATATCAGGTCGCTTAAGACGATTTAAGGATTGATAGTTAAGATTTCATACGCAACGATGTCTCATGGTACCAATGACCTTTACTTAACCTTGCCTCACAAAAGACTAGCTCATCCAGTTTGAACAGCAATTCCGGTCTTGTACCAGCATAATTCGATAACAGGTCATGATTGTGGTGGCGATGTTACTACTACATGTTTATGGATACCAATGGGTCGTAGGGCAGATGCGACATATAAAAAAAGCCAACTCACATTTTTATAATGGTATTGTCGATTAAGCAAACACGTATTTGCCATTACACTTGACGACGCTACTTGTTTTTGATTTAAGTAGTAGCCTTAATCGTCGAGACCTGCCCATTTAATTGAGGGGTGACTCTAAGCTCCGTCCATCACCTTTTTGTGTCGATATAGTTCTTATTAAAGATGGATATGCAGTCTTTATATCTATTTTATCTGAATTGAAAAATGTCACTATTTTATATTATATTTCGAAGAGTCCACTACTTGCTTGAGTGGCAATTCACGTTGCCTCCATATGCATCAACCGCAGCTTTTGATTGGGGCACTACGAAATTCATTTCATCATTCATTTTTTGTAACTGTGACCATTTAGGATGATTTAATGAGTGATTGGTAAATTTGTCTGACATTTAGACGAATCGGCAATTATCTTCCAAATGGTGAACTCATTAAGGCCGAACAAATGTTTCGAAATTCCCTCGCTGCTCCTTCTATAATAAAAATCGGATTACTAAAAGCATAACAAAACGCTATCACTCTGTTACACCTCAACGAGTTCAAATGGGTTGATGTGAGTTATGAACTCAAACTAGAACTCTTTTATTTTTCGAATTAAGTATTGTTTTACGTGTCTACCAGTAAATCGGTAATATGAAATGTATTCACCTTAAACGAAATTGTGTGAATACATTTCATAGAACTCTTTTAGACCAATGGAATTGTTCGCGAGACAAGCTCGTAATTGCCATTTCAGTACAACATGTTACCCATATTATGCGTGAGTATTCATTAAAATTATTGATAATTAATGAGTAAGAAATTAGTCAGCCTTGATTGCATAAATGATTTAAGGACGAATAGTGAACTTTTTGTCAAAATGGCATGAATACACTTTTGATGCATTTAAAATTGTCTCATTCTTTGTAGCATATAATGAATATAAGTGATGTCGGAAATTTTAATGGCGAATACATATTTACCCCATAGACGATCCTACTCTAACTGTGACTTGAGAGAGGAATCGGTTGTGTAGCGCAGTGGCAATCTGCTGTTATGGCTGTCTCAGATCCTGTTGTCGTGTTTATGAGACCAAGGCTAGGGCGAATCTGTGGTCTAGCATGTATGAGAAAACCTTTTGGAAGGCAAGTCTGCCTCAGCTTCAACGGCATTATGAAGCTTTCAGCCAAAATGTTGTCGAGGACGCAAATATCTATTTTAGAACCATCTTAAGGCGATTGGGATATATAAAGTCTTAGGATAATATTACAAATAATGTTTATGCATATTGATATAAAGTATAATTCTGACTTTTGATAAAACATTGGCTCTATTTGACTCTTCTGCAATGTTCAGATGCGTTTAATATCGGGAAAAAATTTGCTAATTGCATCACTAGAAGCATTCGTTTTCTATGGACAAGGCAAAGGGATTGCGAATGATATGATGTGTTGTTAGGGGTAATGTGGAGTACTAAAAAACCCATGAGCGATGTGATGATGAGAGGTTCAATCTTCATTTTTCGCTCGCATCGAAGAAGATACTTGGCCAGAAACTCGCCGCTTGCGGATGCTTTGCCTCCTGCCTGCTTTTAAGCTGTCTGTAGTAAAAAAAATACGATTTTGTTCGGTTCATATTGAAGATCTCCTAAAGGCTGGGCTAGAATGGAACAGGCATTACTAGATGCACTTCAGAATGATGTGAAATGCAGACAAAACACTTGGAATTCACAATCTGGATCGCTTATTTTAGCAAGTAAAAGAAAACTGAAGAGGAGCAGACTTGAGTCCACCATAAAAATTTTCCGAATCTCGTGCTTAATAACGCTTAAAAATCCGCACAGAAGAAAGGAATTCCTAAAACGGAATTCGACATCGGCTGCTTACGCGGCTCTTATGACCGAGAGTGACAGAGCTATGCTCAACTCACGCCGTTGTTCGAGGCCCAAAAAATAATTCAGGCGTATTAGTC